ATCTACATATGCAATTTGTATAATGACACAGGTTCTATGGACATGATGAACGGTTTATTAGAACAGTAAACACTTTTATCAGACACCTGTAGATAGATGTGTAATTCAGCATTTTATCTATCACAACAAAACCTTACCAAAACATATATAATGACAAAATATAACATCAGATTATTATAAATAGTGTCTGTAACCTGCTATCAATTGATATTAAACATTCAATACTTGGTTGGTCCTCCTCGTACACTAATAACCTCTTGTCACTAGAAGGTGCTGCAACTCAGCTACAGGAGTTGGTTTAGGGTCGTGGTTACCAATTTTCCACTTTAGTTCTGCCCAACAGTTCTCATTTGGGTTACAATCTGGAGACTTTGCTGGCCATGGCAACCTTGTAACGTCCTCCTGGTCGAGATAATCCATTACAATACGAACACTGTGGGCAGTGGCATTGCAATCCTGGAACACAAAGTTATTGCTGAACTTGCCCTAGTATATGGCAGAAATATCGTCTCCATATGATGCCTGTAGGAGGCGCCATTAACGTTTCCCTGGAGGATACGAAGAGCTGTTTTTCCACCATGATGAACAGCTGCCCAAACATGTACTCCACCACCTTCTGCGTGTCTCCTGTGGGAAAGAAAGTTTTCCTTCATCTGTTCTCCAGGAAAACGACGAACACAAATCCTACCATCACCTTTAACTAACCGGAAACATGACTCATCTGAAAAGATGACTTGTCGCCAGTGTCCTAATTGTAAGTTAGCATGCTGTCTTGCCCAAGTAACACGGTGAATTTTGATTAATATCGGCTTGCAGATAACCCTTCTTGCAAAATAATCTTGTTTGGTCAGTCCTCTATTCACTGTTCTTCTGGATACCCTGGAATGAATGTGTTCATGACATTCTTGTTGTAAAATGTTGCAAGACTTCCTTTGACCTTCACATGTTAACCTGATCAAAACGGTAGTTTTTCGGCATCTACCAATAGACCTTTCTGGAACAACTTTTCTTGTAGTCCGCTGACATTTCAGGATTCTGGATACAGTACACTGAGGTACCCTACTGTTCTGGTAATGTCCGTTTGTTTCATACAATTTCTGGACAATCGAACAACTTAATGCCCTATAACTTCTGGCACGTGACGAGGAATGATTCTACACGAAGTACAGTGAAATTGTCTGAACAAAGTGTTGATCTGTTTCGAAAAAGATTATACCAAATGCATACCCTTTTATACAAAACAGGTGTGTATGTGCGTTTTGACGAACGAATGTTGAAAACAAGTTATACATACCAGAACAACAACTCGTACATGCTTGTCCGATCAAACACTACCTTCTCTGTTACTACTCGGGCATTTGCTCAATAAATTACTCCATGCATGTAGACAGTAACATCAATATAGAACAGTATACAAACATAAGACTGTACTTATCGTTCTGTCAACTAATTCTGAAAGAATTTTGTGGTAATATTTACAAACTGAACGTAGCCACTCTCTTTACTTTTCAGTATAGACTGTGTGTACAAATGCTTCACTTATGTCATTGTGGTAAAAAAAGTATGGAATACACCATAACAACAGAACTTGGCGAAGATTTGCTGATTTAAAAAATTCGTTTTACCCAAACTGATATATATATCTTCAAATAACTGGTATGGTGTTTTTGTGGTGGTTGGGAGGACTTGTTTGTTTGTGATTAAGCACAAAGCTACACAATACGCTATCTATACTCTGACCACCACGGGTATCGAAACCCGGATTCTAGCGTTGTAAGTCCGCAGACATACCGCTGTGCCATTGGGAGGCAGGTTGGGAGGAGGATATGATTAATTCTTAATTCTATTAGCACGATTTAAAAAAAAAAGAGTAACCGTGGAAGAAATCACAAGTAGAGACTAGGTATGGTGATTCTTGAAACGTATAAAAACTTTATCATATTTTACTAAATTTCATTACGGATGTTACACATATATAAAACATTTTCACATGCTTTAAATATTCTTGAACGTAATAATATTATACTGTTTTTAACAAAGAAGTTGCACGAAACATTTTGCTGTTTCACTAAATCTTACACAAACGAACAAAACCCGCAAAAGAGTTATTTTAAAATTCATTATCAGATTATTTATTCGTGTATTTTTTTTTCTATAATTTTATTATAATCAAGTAGAATACTTGCATTTCTATGCACAATAAAAAGACAACTTTTCAAAAGAAATTCCTTGGGTAAAATTTATTCATTAAATCTTGCTTCAGTTGGTGGTCTCCCCTTGATAAAATACCAACCGCATGAAACTAAAATTAACATATGGAATTTTCCAAGCAAATAGACACTTTTGCTTTTCTTAGTTAATGCCATATTTTCTACCCAGATGGCGAGAATTATTTGACAAACGTAACACACAACAAAAATGTAACAGATTATCATACCTAAGTATATGAAAAGCTAACATTAGCATTTGAAGAAAATAAACGGATTTAATATATATATATATATGAGTGTGTGCTCTAGAAACTTTTAATGGCGTTAAACTGGCGAAAACTGGCGTAACTACTAGTAAATCGTTGTCTAATGACAAACACAGGTACAACTACTAGTACTAAATCATTGTATAATACGAAGCACAGGAGCAATTACCGGTAAATCGTTGTCTAATGCCAAATACAGGTGCAACTACTTGTAAATCATTGTGTAGTACGAAGCATGGGAGCAGAACTACTGGTAAATCATTGTGTATTGTGAAATACAGGAACATAACTACTGGCAAACCGTTGTCTTGTTCGAAATACAAATACGTAGCAATCTATACGTTGAAAGTCAAGTTAGGAATACAGGCACATAGCAACTGGTAAATTAGTTATTAAATGCGAAATACAGGTATGTAGTTACTAGTAAATCGTTGTCTTGTTCTTTCCACATAACCTGGATCAGAAACAATTCCATAATGTGTTGTGCTAATAGTGAACTTCAACGTTCTTTCCACATAACCTGGATCAGAAACAATTCCATAATGTGTTGTGCTAATAGTGAACTTCAACGTTCTTTCCATATAACCTTGATCAGAAACAATTCCATAATGTGTTGTGCTAATAGTAAACTTCAACGTTCTTTCCACATAACCCTGATCACAAACAATTCCATAATGTGTTGTGCTAATAGTGAACTTCAACGTTCTTTCCACATAACCTTGATCAGAAACAATTCCATAATGTGTTGTGCTAATAGTAAACTTAAACGTTCTTTCCACATAACCTTGATCAGAAACAATCCCATAATATGTTGTGCTAATAGTGAACTTCAACGTTCTTTCCACATAACCTTGATCAGAAACAATTCCATAATGTGTTGTGCTAATAGTGAACTTCAACGTTCTTTCCACATAACCTTGATCAGAGACAATTCCATAATGTGTTGTGCTAATAGTGAGCTTCAACGTTCTTTCCACATAACCTTGATCAGAGACAATTCCATAATGAGTTGTGCTAATACTGAACTTCAACGTTCTTTCCACATGACCTTGATCAGAGACAATTCCATAATGTGTTGTGCTAATACTGAGCTTATTTTTACTTTATTGTAATGGTATTTCTCGGATACTTAAAAAACAAACACGAAAAACTCCGAAACCTTATCTATCAATCAGACATTAGCTTTATGTCATAAGATGATGATGGATGATCCTTCAAATTATAGTGAGATTATCAGACTTTTTCACTGTATTAATACACCTTGTTTTGGTTCATTTTAAAATAAAGATGTCTATCTATCTATCAATCCGTTCATTCATCTTATATCTATTTTGTTATCTATCTATCCGTTCGTCATCTTCCATCTATTTTGTTATCTATCTATCCGTTCGTCATCTTCCATCTATTTTGTTATCTATCTAATCATTCATTCATCTTCCATCTATCTTGTTATATATCTATCCGTTCATTCATCTTCCATCTATTTTGTTATCTATCTATCCGTTCATCCATCTTCCATCTATGTTGTTATCTATCTATCCGTTCATTCATCTTATATCTATTTTGTTATCTATCTACCCGTTCATTCATCTTCTATCTATCGTGTTATCTATCTATCCGTTCGTCATCTTCCATCTATTTTGTTATCTATCTATCCGTTCATTCATCTTCCATCTATCTTGTTATCTATCTATCCGTTTGTCATCTTCCATCTATTTTGTTATCTATCAATCCGTTCATTCATCTTCTATCTATCGTGTTATCTATCTATCCGTTCGTCATCTTCCATCTATCTTGTTATCTATCTATCCGTTCATCCATCTTCTATCTATCGTGTTATCTACCCGTTCATTCATTTTCCATCTATCTTGTTATCTATCTATCCGTTCGTCATTTTCCATCTATTTTGTTATCTATCTATCCGTTCATTCATCTTCCATCTATCTTGTTATCTATCTATCCGTTCATCCATCTTCCATCTATTTTGTTATCTATCTAATCATTCATTCATCTTCCATCTATTTTGTTATCTATCTATCCGTTCATTCATCTTATATCTATTTTGTTATCTATCTGTCCGTTCATTCATCTTATATCTATTTTGTTATCTATCTAATCATTCATTCATCTTCCATCTATTTTGTTATCTATCTAATCATTCATTCATCTTATATCTATTTTGTTATCTATCTATCCGCTCATTCATCTTATATATTTTGTTATCTATCTATCCGTTCATTCATCTTCCATCTATCTTATTATCTATCTATCCGTTTGTCATCTTCCATCTATTTTGTTATCTATCTATCCGTTCATTCATCTTATATCTATTTTGTTATCTATCTATCCGTTCATTCATCTTATATCTATTTTGTTATCTATCTGTCCGTTCATTCATCTTATATCTATTTTGTTATCTATCTAACCATTCACTGGTCTTCCTAACTGTTCATTTCACCATCTAACTGTATCAGTGAGTTTAGTCGTTTCTCCATCTGTCTATCTCAGTCTTTCTGTTCATCTGCCCGTTAACCTACCAAACTATGCATTATTTTTAGTAAGGCAAGCTAATGAAAAAGTAGTAATACAATCACCTTATAACAATCATAATTTTACCCACTAACTGCACATGTCCACTTGAACATATAAGTTTTACTTCTGTTTCTGTTAGTAAAAATATTTATGTTGTTGGTAAAACAAGCCAACAAAATATTATTGATTTAAAAAAAGTATTTTTGTTCTTCAACGGTGGAATGTCTTAAAACGCTCTCTTTAAATTTTAAACTAGCATTACCGTTAATTTTATAGATAAATGGTACATATAACATTTCTACATTAGTTTTTAACCTACACAATATTAAATGATATTACAGTTTAGTTGTTTTTATTTCATATAACAAAATCAGTTCGTTAAAATGACTAAATACTCTCCAACACTTTAGATTTTTAGATCTATTTTCTATCGTTGGAAACTTCTCACCTTTTGATCTAGGTTGATTATAAAGATATCTTCCTCCCTCCTTTTTAGGGGTCTGTACGGTAGCCATTGCTGAGGAAAAGAAACAAATTAGACAAATCTCCAAGATTTCAGTTCTAGCTTCTAAAATTGTCATTTATAAATATTTTGTAATAAAGTAAATAAAGAAATATATCTTTATGTTTGCAAAACGTTTAACCGCTCTAATTAAATATTGGTTACCAATCCACCGATGAAATTTGATTTATCCCCGGGTGACGTAGCGGTAAGTTTCAGGACTTACAAAGCTAAACTCCATGCAGTGGACACAGCAGATAGTCCAATATGGTTTTGCTCCACAACAAAAAAGATATCCAACTCTGCGCTAGCCGTCCCTAATTTAGACTAGAGGAAAGGCAGCTCGTCATCACCACCCACCGCCAACTTCTTTTACCAACGAATAGTAGGATTGACCGTCACATTATAACGCCCCAAGACTTAAAGGGCAAGCATGTTTGGAGTGACGGGGATTTGAACCCGCGACCCGCAGATTGCGAGTCGAGCGCCCTAACCACCTGGCCATGCCGGGCCCGTTTTGAAGAACCGCACAAAAATCATATTACACTTATATTCCATTTTCAGATAAGAAAATAATACTTTTAAAAGGGGACAATATATGAAACAGTAATAAGAAAAATGGAAATAAGAGAACTACAGTATTTTCAGATCAACATTGTTGATTTTCAATGCTATTATTTGGAATAAGAATGAGTTCGACAGATTTTTTTTACAGATCGCTTCGTCACTCCTTCACCCTTATATAAAATCGTCTACGACACTATTTTCGAATTCATGTATTCTCCTTGTCAAAGTCATAGGCAATGGATAACAGTTTCGTTTTCGTTGTTTTTTCTAACTATCCTTCAGTAGTAGCAGGTCCATGATAATCGATTTGAAGAAAAATTATAGTATTTCTTTAAATCAAAAGAACAATTCCAAAACAGTGAATGAACAAAATGTATTTTAAAGTGGTCTTTTTTTTATATATATATGTTCTTGATGGAAAGCCTCAAGACTATCAAACACGAAAATGATGTCTATGATCAGAATTACATCTACTTCTTGCATGATTGATCACGTAAAACTTTTATGCAAACGTGTTGGATCCAAATTCGTAAGATGAGGCCTTTTTATTTCAGTTATATAAACATCATTATTTCGTTTCTTTTGTAAAGGAGGAATAGTGTGATTTAGAAATTTAAGATGATTAAACTGTGCTGAATGATAAAAGTGCTTCAATCATGTTAATTGAGTTATTCTTTTATTAAAACATGTTTAACACATTTTTTTATAAATTAATTTTATGTTTTTGTGTAGTATTTCGAGTTATTTTAATTTTTGTGTGATATTTCGAGTTATTTTTTATTTTTGTGTAGTATTTCGAGTTATTTTTATTTTTGTGTGATATTTCGAGTTATTTTCTATTTTTGTGTAGTATTTCGAGTTATTTTATATTTTTGTGTAGTATTTCGAGTTATTTTATATTTTTGTGTAGTATTTCGAGTTATTTTTATTTTTGTGTGATATTTCGAGTTATTTTATATTTTTGTGTAGTATTTCGAGTTATTTTATATTTTTGTGTAGTATTTCGAGTTATTTTATATTTTTGTGTTGTATTTCGAGTTATTTTATATTTTTGTGTAGTATTTCGAGTTATTTTATATTTTTGTGTAGTATTTCGAGTTATTTTTATTTTCATGTAGTATTTCGAGTTATTTTCTTATATCTGAAGATTATTTATTATTCCGTTTCGTTAAAATTAGACCTCTACTGACCGAAAAGCTCCTTATCCCCCATTGCTAAGTGATAATCTTGAGGGCTTATAATGCTAAACCCCAATGTTCAATCCCTGCGATGGGTACAGCGCAGCAAAATTTCAAGTTTAAAGAAACATGCAAAAAGAGCATCCATTTCGAGATTTTTGTATATAATAACAATAGGTTCTTAAAACAAGTCTAGTTTATATTAGGTGTAGTAGCATTTTAGATTGTGTCGATATTCATAGTTAGAATTAGCTTTACATATGACAACAAATTGAAAGATAGAGAAAAACAAGCATTAGTAGTTATGAACGACTAATTTATAAATAAAGCTGAAAAAATCCAAATATATTATTTTATAAATTACATAAATATTTTCGAGTGTTTATGAGTATCAAGACTTTTCCTTTTGAGAATAGGGTCTATGAGCATCAAGCCCTTTCCGTCTGAGAATAGATTCTATGAGCATCAAATCCTTTCCTTCTGAGAATAGGTTCTATGAGCATCAAGCCCTTTCCTTCTGAGAATAGGTTCTATGAGCATCAAGCCATTTCCTTCTGAGAATAGGTTCTATGAGCATCAAGCCTTTCCTTCTGAGAATAGGTTCTATGAGCATCAAGTCCTTTCCTTCTGAGAATAGGTTCTATGAGCATCAAGCCCTTTCCTTCTGAGAATAGGTTCTTAGCTACATTACTTGACGTCGGAGCTGGCGAACCAGATTCGAATCCGTGCGATACCGCAAAATATTCCCGCACTTTAGATTGTCGATATGTTATAAGAGTGGCAGTCAATCGCTTAGTGTGGATGGTAGAGCGCTGCTGACTGGCTGCTTTCTCTTTGGTCAGTAGTTAAAAATGAGAGAGAGGCATACAGTAGATTTACGATAAATATAATATACAGAGGCAAATACAATTTGTATTCTATGTTGATAACGCTTGGGTTAAACGGTCAGCCGTACATAATTTTGAATTACTGACAAGAAGGTGCTAGCACTTGTGTTAAACGGTCATTCGTCCCTAATTCTGAATTACTGACCACAAGGAAGGCAATCAACCAGAGCAACCAACGTTTCAAAACTTTTATCCGGGTACTTGAACAGAATAACAGGATTGATTGTCACTTTTATAACGCGTATGGGTCAAAGTGTGGGGCGCATTCAGCAGCATCACGCCTCAAACCTTGGACCCTTCGAAATACACTCGACACTCTAATCGCTTGGTCATTCCTTTTCCGCCATATACTTTAAATGTTTTGAGTAAACAATGAGTGTCATTAAGAGCTCAAAATGACCAATCACATTTCCTCCCCCCCAATAAAAAATGAAATGGCAAACTATAAACAAGTGAAAAATGGAACGCTGTTAAAACTATGTTTATATTAATACTCTAAAGTCGTGCTTTCGTGTTAAGTATAGGGAAGCCGACGTGGCTCTATTTGGAATGGTCAAGGTCTCTCGAAATTTCGAAGGAAATCGCGAGGCATGATGGAAGCTATGCAACAATAAATGTACCCACATTAGGATGAAAAAAATTCATTGTATCATCCACCAGTAACTTTAGGTAGTCTAAATTACAAATCCTTTACACTTAGATTAGGTAAGGATTACTTGCATATGGTTGATATATTCCAGTAACACTGACCAACACATCATAGTCCGATGAGCTACAAGCCAGAGATGACCAACAAAAACTAACCTTACAGTGCGTTGTGTGGCTAATGACTTAACTGAACTGCCTGCTTGCCCATTGTTTTGAGGGACTACCTTGGTAATTTAACCATTGGCATTTATCAGCTGAAACAGGCGAAGATGTATCCTTGGGAGCATCCTTCCGAATAATGGTAACTACGTCGTGTTTCATCATAAGCTTTACAAATAATATGTTGCGGATCAAACTACAGTCACAGTATACGACACCAAAAGTGTATTCGCTATGGATCTCTTGTGGCACACCATAAAGGGTTAGTATTACCAGCTTAGGTGCTTGAACAGAGTGATGTCGTGCACCTATATCCGTGTAGCTTCTAAACTCCTAGAACACATTCTTGCGAAGACTACATGATTAGCAGACTGGGGCTCTGCTAATGACAGTGGTGCACATGATGTAAATAACTAAACGACAGTATATTGAATCCATTTGAATGCTGGACAGCATGCAAGAAGTTAGACTTTGTTTCAAATGAATATCATGTAACGCACAGGAAGCATATGTTCATATTTTACATGTTCTGTTGTACCTGACACGTTAATGAACTCAACGACGTCAATGCACCAACTATAGACATATATTATCAGATTTCTTAATTAATAAATAAATACCTTTTCTTAGAAACATGCTCCGATCTCATTAAAACAGAACATTTATTCTCATTAACATATAGATTACTGGACACCACTTGTGTAAGGATATATATATATATTGTGACATAAGTAATCTATCATATTTGTCCAGATTTTAAGCCAAATCTGATACAGACCACTTAAAGCTGTTATTGACACAATATACTTTCAATGTTATTTTTTATCAATTGTCCATATGTTTTTAAATATTAAACTATTAGATAGTATTAAGTTTCCTCTTTTGAAATTGTTTGATTTTAGTCTTCAAATTCTTCAAATTTTCCCATGACCAATCAACTCACCAAGAATGTTTTAACCACTTAATATTTAACTTGGACTGGTTTTTACACACCCAAATTTACCCATGACCATCAACTCACCAAGAATGTTTTGTGTGTAAAACCAGTCCAAGTTAAATATCAAGTGGTTAAAACACCTCAGATTTACCCATGACCATCAACTCACCAAGAATGTTTTAACCACTTAATATTTAACTTGGACTGGTTTTACACACTCATATTTACCCATGACCAATCAACTCACCAAGAATGTTTTAACCACTTAATATTTAACTTGGACTGGTTTTACACGCTAAAATTTTCCCATGACCATCAACTCATCAAGAA